TATATATATTGTGGTGAAACAGAAGTGAACATAAAAGAAATTAAGTAATTGTTTCAAGAAAAGAGGATAACTTAATTTAAAATTGTGCAAATTCGAGACAATGTCCAACAATCCTCAGTGGAAAACGTTCCAGCCGCCAATCATGAACTCTGACCCCGCAATACTTGAATACAAGTCTATGACTATACCAAGTCCCAAGGTTATAACGGGATCACATCAACCAACAAACAATGTCTACAGAAATGGTACCAGTTATAGTGGTGATCATGATATGATGAATTCACCTCCTGGAAATAGAAAAAAAACTATACAATATGCTGGTTATCCCAATACTAAGAAATCACGTAATGAAGTTACCAGATTTCCTTTTGGAACATTTACAGGAATGGAAGGAAGCACTGGCTATACAGAAGAACCAACAACAAATAACTCCACTTATCAGGATCAATCTGAGAACCAAGGAACTCGAGAAACTGGAATAATCGAAAAATTATTAGTAAGAATTTTATTATAATTTCAATATTTATTTTATGTGATAGCTGCAATATTTTTATTTTATTTTTTTTTTTTTTTTCTAGCATTCATATGGATTTATACAGTGCTGTGAAAGACAAGCAAGGTTGTTCTTTCATTTTAGCCAATTTAGTGGTAATATAGACCATTTAAGAATTGGAGATCCTGTTGAATTTGAAATGACTTATGATCGACGGACAGGCAAACCTATTGCTAGTACTGTTAGTAAGATTGCTCCAGAAGTGGTTAGTATAACATTAGCATATTTATATAAAACATTAAAATTATCTAAAATATAAACCCTAAATTAATTGAAACAATATTATGTTGTAGGTGCTAAGTGAGGAAAGAGTTATTGGAAATGTAACAACAGAATTGCATACAAATGGTGATACACAAGGGCGTATCAGTTATGAGAATCGTGGAGAGTGTTTTTTTTTGCCATATACAAAAGATAATGTTGAAGGAAATGTTACTTTGCGTGCTGGTGATAGAGTGTCATTTCAAATTGCTGCTAATGAACGGTGAATAATTATAGAATTATATTATTGGCTTATTATAATAAATCATTTATACATTTATAGTATTCATAGTGAATGGTATACAAATATTCAATCATAGTATACAAAATGAATGTAACACTGTCATTTAATTACAGTGGGAATTTGGGTGCGTGTCATGTAAGGTTGGAAAATTCTGCACATCCAGTCCGCTATCGTGGTGTCGTATGCTCGATGAAAGAAAATTTTGGCTTTATTGAACGTGCTGACGTAGTTAAAGAGATTTTCTTCCACTTTAGCGAAGCTAAATCTATGAAAGAAGAACTTAAGCTAGGAGATGACGTTGAATTTATAATACAAACTCGAAATGTAAATATTCCTTTTGGTTATATATGGATGTTATAGTTTTTTTATATTTACTCTCTACATAAATTTAATTGTTATTAAAATTTTAAGGGGAAAGAGGTAGCTTGTAATATTACTAAGCTACCACCTGGTACAATAGTTTTTGAAGAAGTTAGCAATGAAATAGTAAAGGGACAAGTATTAAAACCTTTGGAAAGAGGTACTGCAGCACGCCATCAAAATGATCCCTTGCCAGGAAGAATTCGATATAGAGATACAGATCATACTGAAGTTGAAATTCCTTTTGGTGATAAAGATCAAAAAGGAGATTTTACTCTCAGGTATGTCTATAAATTATTTTTATTGATTTTTATTGTTCATCAAAGTAATTATAATCCATTTGATTTGTAGACATAGGGACTGGGTCCAATTTCGTGTTGCTACAGATACTAGAGATCAACTCAAAAGAGCTACTGAAATATTATTGTTACCTGAATCTTTTGCTGTTTCTGGTGAAAGACGAGAACAAGGCATTATAGCTGCACTCAAAGATGGATTTGGCTTTATTCGTTGTGTAAATCGAAATGTACGACTTTTCTTTCATTTTAATGAAGTTTTGGATGTTGATAGAGAAATTAGTGTAGGAGATGAAGTTGAATTTACAGTAATTCAAGTAAGTATAATGTTTCTAGAAATTATTTAAATTTTTGAAGCATATTTTAATTAAAATTTTTATGTCAGGATTCTTCTGCTTCATCCTCAAATAATCGACAATGTGCAATTAGGTTGAAACATTTACCAGCTGGTACAGTTCAATTTGAAACAATTATCGAAGAAGATTTATTGGGTACTATAATTCAGGGTACAAATGGTATTGTGCCTGGTGTTATTGGATACACAAAGGAAAATCAACAGAAGAACGTTATTTTCTTTAATAAAGATTATGAGCCTAAAAATGTTCCAAGAATTGGTGCCAAGGTACACTAACATACATGTGTACTATTGTAATTTTATTAATACATTTTTTTAAAGTCTTAGTATTGTAGGTTCAATTTAGTATCTGTCAAGTAAAACGAAATAAGGAACTTGTTGCTGTTGACATATCTCCAGTAAGCTCTTCTGGTGAAAAGACTCAAAATGGCAACAAAAAATTGAATAGCCAAGTTTGTCAAGGTTTCATTGCTGCACTTAAAGATGGATTTGGTTTTATTGAGACTGTAAATCATGATAAAGAAATATTTTTTCACTTCAGGTAAGTAACTTTAATATGTTTGAGAATATCACTTTTCTATGAATTTTTATATGTTTATTTTATAATTTTATAAATATTTTTATTCTTTAGCAATTTTGAAGGGGACGTTAATGCATTGGAAGTAGGAGCTGACATTGAGTGTAAAATCAGTTCTGGAAATGGTAGAGGTAACGGTGGTTGTGTAGCCGCAGATTACGTCAAATTGGTACCTCGTGGAAGCATTCCTAGGCCAACACCAGTTAGCGAAGTGCTCGATGGAACGGTTATTAGACCTTTACGAAGTGCAAATCCTGACCAGGCAGAGTATGCTGGTTTAATAAAAATAAATGCTACTAGCGAAGACGAAGATACTCCGGAATATGAATTCCGAATCATGGGGCTTGTCAACAAACGCGAGCTATTACAAGCTGGTGATCCCGTACAATTACAGGTGGACTCAGCAGGTCACGCTTGTAATATTGTAGCAGTTAGGAAAAAAAGGAGAGCAACAGTTGATGCAGTAAAAGGTCTTTTTGGTTTTCTTGCTTATGAAGTTGATGAGGGTAAGAAGCTATTTTTCCACATGAGTGAGGTTCGAGATCATGCAATACTTCAACCAGGAGATCAGGTTGAATTCGTTTTGATCACGAATCAGCGTACTGGTAAATCATCTGCATGCAATGTAACACGATTAAGGTGAATCTTTTATATTGTTATTATATTTCTGTGTTCTGTTGGCATTAATAATTTAATTGACATATTGCTTTATTTTTTTTATTGTACAGTGATGCGGTTCAACAACGACCCGAACGTCTGATCAGTCGATTACGTACTACATCTTTGGAAGATACAGGTCCTAAATTAACAATAGTTAGACAACCGAGAGGGCCCGACGGCACGCGTGGATTTAGTCAGGAAAGATGCCAGCATACCTCTGGTGCCATCCAAGAGTAATGTCGTATTGAAAGGATTATTGCTTATCCAAATTGTAATCTACATTACTTGTTTTTAGTCCATACACTTCGGTACCGAGATTATTATTATTATAAGCATCGTAAACATTTGCCAAATTGAGACTAATGTGACAACAATAATAACATTGATAATAATCGATTGGATCATGATCTTGTTGAGAAAAGAATATAAAATAAAAAAAACAACGAGTCATTTTATCATCTTATAAAGTATAAAGATAATCAGGAAGGCAGTTTGTCTAAACTATTTCAATTTCTTTATAAAATTTAGTCAGAATCGTTTCCTTCGAGAAATATGTAATAGATTTTTATAATTGTAAACAATAATTAAAAAATATTATTAGAATTTTCAAGTACTACATTTTCTTTTCAATAAAAATTTTTAAGATATTTTCTTTATTCAGTTTATTATAGGTACAGTTATAGATGAAAAATAATTTAACATTGAACAGTTTGACAACCTGCCTGTTTGTAATGTTCAAAGATAATGTCCCGTCTGTCTTTATAAAAATATACGTACATGTTGATAAAATCTTTATTTATATTATTTTCTTTAGAGTATTTGTTTTACCCATAATGTATATTGCAATCAATTGAAATAATGCATAATAGTCAAAAATCAAGTCATATGCAATACAATATATATGATAATATTGATTGGCCACATAATCAAAAAAAGAAGAAAATATATTTGTATTATTTGCTGAAATTTATGAATTTACATAATTTTATAGTCAAAGGAGCAGGCACATGTTTTACTATATAAATTATTGTAACGTGTTACTCTGTTGAAGAGAAAATGTCTATGAATTTGTAAAAAAGTTACAACTGCCCAATTGTTTGTCCTAGATAATATATAACATACAAATATATATACATGTCGTTAAGTTCCTGATGCAGTCTCGTGTTATAAAATCAAACTAGTATTATGAATTCAGTCGATATATAATACAAAAGGATTACAAAAAGTACTTATGTGGAAAGTAAAAAAATTGCATTTTATAAGTTTTGCCATCAGAAACAGCAAGCGAGGTACACGTGGCATTATGTAGAAATAGGTGAAAGGAGTAAAATAACAACGTGCATTAACACAAGCACGATACAAACTCAACGTTTGTCCGAAAACTCATGGATCCAACACATCATGTGCATACATATTGTAAAATTATTGATGAATAAACAATGAAAATATCAAATATATCTCTTTTCCATAAATCTCAAAGATTTAAATAATGCGCAAATAATTGAGATTTTTATAGATCATAATTTTTTTTAATATGTATTATTTTTAATAATTTAAACAAATTTTTAGTAACAAGACAATTGTCATATATACAATATATTTATTATGTATGTACAAAGATGTGTAAAGTTTCGCAAAATATGTTTATTTTTTGTACTTAACATACTGGATGTATTTCATTTTTGATAGATTAAAAGAAGGCAAATTGTAAATTAGATCACAACACATTCATAAGGAAACGGTCCTCGGAAACGTTGATTATTTGGTCCTGTGCAAGCTGCAAAACGTATCATTATATTAAAAAATGGTTTTTCAATATTTTATATTTACTACACTCATTAAATTTTATCTCGTCACTATTCTAATTCTAGGTAATAAATCGTACACATCCTTAAATTATTAAAAATTGAGCAAGTGTGTTTGTTACCAATTTGAATAGTTACCAGTTATTTGGTAAAATATATGACTGCAAAATTGTAAGCATAATCATTATTTATCAGTGATAACAATTACTAACGTTTGTCACAATGTGGTCCGTAATAACCGGTTCCTTCACAGCGACATTTAAATCCAGGTTCTGATGATATTTGCAAGCATGATCCTCCATTTAAACAAGGTTTTGATCTATAACATATATCGCTACGCCTGCCTGGAAAAATAATTATATAATGATAAAGACAATCATTAATTTTTTCAATTTTAATGTTAAATATTTATATTTCTTTAAGTATCTATGAACAAATTTAACAGTGACATTAACATTATGAATGAAATTAACAGGTAAGTTATTACCTCTTAATGCTTCTTTGCAATCATCGTTACTGTTATATCTGTATTCGGAGGAACAACCGTAACCGCATCTACATTGTGCATTATAGATACGACATCCATATTGCATTTGATCCAAATCGCAAGCGTTTAATAACGTACCTATAGTTGTAATTAAAATATTTTAGTTCATATGATAATGTATTATAGCATAAAACAATCAAATTATAATAGTTTATTGAATTTTTTATATTATTTTCGTAAATATTAGAATATCATATAAATTATAAAGAATTACAGAATGATAATTTTTTTTATCTCGTTTTTTATTGAAAGAAACTATATGAAAATATTACTTAATAAGGTAATATGGCTAATTTATATATTTTTTCCTCAGAAATAACGATAAATGGAATTTAAAATGTTCATCATCAGATTCAATGACAATGATGTAAAAGAATACCGCTTCTATCAGTAGATGCTAAATAAGACTGTGTATTAAGTCAATTATGTAATTTTAATAGAACTCAATGAATTGCATATCACTAAAATAAACCGAAAATTCATCCAGAAATTAAAAAAATGCATTTGTTAGGAATATTTTGTATTGTGAAAGAAAGCGGTAAGTACTTAAACAATAAGTTATAATCACATATTTTCTGCAAGGTTTTTCGGTGAATGTTCTCTGTTTGTAATGAATGTATCTGCAGTTTATTTACCCTGAAAAGATAATGCTACGAAGAAACATACTGCCGGAGGCAACTATTTGTACCGGATGTGTCCACTGCACTTCCCACTTATCTAAATTGATAAACATTTAACGAGATAAAGCATGCCTGCGCGGGTTAATTGATTTTCGGGTATGAAATCTAAATTATCATCATTTCTTTTGTTCTTAATGAATTGTTATTTGAATATTGTTTCTCACTTATAGAAATAATATAGTATAGAGATAGTATCTTTTATAAGATACAATCTATAAGAGATGTGGAATGTACATCATCGAAAGTATACGTTTCATTATCGTGAAACATTATCTGTCTTACTCGGTGAATGAACCGAGACTTTTCTTTTAAACGGAACAGTTGCATTTATTTTATTTTAAGTAAATTACTATCGTTTAGAATAACGTTATTTAAGGAAACTATAATAATACCTCCGTGAGTATAATTTTTCCACGGCGTTGCAATAAAATCTTCATCACTTTTAAATATTAACATTTTTTAACATAATATTTTTATTTTAATATCACGTGCAATTAATGAAAATACGCGTAGAGAAAAATAAGTAATACACATTGTAAAGATATAACTGATAATACGATGATTAAATTGAAAAAAGGGTAAACTTAGATGATCGAGAAATCAATATCCCATTTATGATATATGGTAATGTAATTCCTATGATGTGTAATCAGCATGAAAATTTTAATAATTTAAAAAAACGCGATAAATTTTTATAATCGCATATCATACCACTTTATAAATACGTTATGTTATTTTACAAAATATATTATATATATTTTATGTTTAATGGGGAACGTATGAAACGCAAAGAACGTATTCATACCTATAATAGTGAGTAGCAGAAATATTGGTAATATCAATCTTGGTAGCATGATGGGCCTAAAGCTCACACAAAATCCGAAGAAGAAATATTCCGATAATGATAATCCAGATAATTGTAGAGATGTCAGAATACAGAGATCGACGACCAGCGCCTGCGACTAGGCTATTGCTTGAACTCGGTGGGGTTAAAGGTCGCTTGTTGAAAGGGGGTTCTTTACACATTCACTATCGCGAGGATAAAATTCGTGTTCCGGTGCAACGTTTCTTGTGACAGTCAGCAACTATACTCGCTGAACGCGTCGACCGAACTGAACAGCAGACTCCAGACAGTTGGAGACAACTGCCTCTTTACGACTATTAACTAAATGCGGACTAACGCGCTTAGCTAGCATACCCAGTCTCTACTGAACTAAGAAACAATGCGTGGGGTGTAAAATCAACCGTTGACTATATGACGTATTTCTAACCGCTTACATAGATTTATAATTTCATTCGTTCTACTAATATTAATTATTATTTCTGTTAATAATTTATCTTCAATTAATTTTAAATTTGTTATTTTTATGAAATTTATTATGAGGCTTTATTAGTAACTTCATTTATTTATGTGCTTATATATTATTTTAAAGAAAATACTAATATGTGCCATTAGGCTTAATCTGTTGTACGATCCGGCACATGTTTTCCCAAATAGATCACATGGTCGGCACAGAATGTTATTAGTTTCCGTTTTTGTAACTAACTTAAATGTCTCTTATATTTGAAACAAAATGTAAATAGGCATTAATTTTCTAAACAATTATATCTTTTTTAATACAATATTTTTATAGTAATGTTAAAAAAGAATACACATTTTTTATTTTTATAATAATTTTGGCATAAACTATAACGTTAAGTGATCTATTAAGGAAGCATATTGTTATCACATTTCAAAGTTTGATAACATTTGACACGCACAGTTATAATTCCGGAAGTATTTGTAGTTTACATTGCGAGACGTGCATAATTTGTATGTGAGTCTTTTGTAAGAATTTTTGTTTATAAGATAAGTTAGTTAATCAATTTCGAAAATATACAATAAACTTTTTTAATTTTATAAATAACTTGAGATTATAGTATCATAACAAAATAAAAAATTGGATCAAGGCGATTTATTAATAGAATAATAATTTATTAGAAAAAACCATTATCTCTCGATTCTTGGACGGATTAAAAGATTTTTAAGACTTCATTTACAATGTATAACTACATTTGAGTATCAGTACTGAGAATATTTCACAAATACTTTATACACACAATTGAAGTTTAAATATAACAATGATTTTAATTATTTTTCTTAATATATGTGTATTTGATGCTTTGCATATAATTCATTATATCTTCAATGGAAAATCTTCTTAATTATTTATATTCTAAAAAAGCAATATTTATGTAAAATATAATATCTTTTTATACATGAAAGTATTAAAATAATAATTGTTAGTACCTTACATGAATGTTTGATCATGTTGTTCATGAATCATTGTTGCTCTTCTAGATTGAACCATATTACTTTGTCTATTATACAATTCTCGTACCAAGTTATCCTTTTCTTGTTCAAGTATTGCTATTCTTTGACTTTTTTTACTGACTTCCTAAATTTTAATCATTATAAATGAATCAACTATAATATTAATTATACATATTTATTTATTTAATTTACCTCTGTTAGTCTGTGATTTTGTTGCTTTAACCTAGACAATATATCCTGTTGCAGTTGGGTTGATGTAGGAGTACTGAGAAAAGCAAGATTCATGTGAAGAGGAAGTCCACCACGTTCCCAACTACTTATTAATGCAGCTAAGTGTCTGTTCACTTCTAATACTCGAGCACGTTGTAATTCCAAACGTTCTTGTTGTGCTTCTGTCCATTGTTCCTAAGTAAAAATACACAAGTTAATAAAATATTTTAGATAATACAAATATTTAATTAGATAATACAAATATTTAATACCACATGAGATCCCATACGTCCAAGATGTTTGATTTTTTCCTGAGTAGAAGAGATTTGCTTTAAATACCATTCTCTGGCTTTATCAACTGCAGCTAGTCCTTGAAGTAATACATCTTTTTCTTGTTCAATTTGTTTCATTCTTTTCATCTAAAGAAGAAAATTCTTAAATAGCTACTATTGCTAATAATTAAGAAACAGGCTTCCCAACTATGTATTCTAATGTTGTGTTATATAAGTACATAATATACTAAGCTAGTATTTAGCATAAATTGTATCTACATGTTAATAATTACTAAATTTCATGCATACCCACAACCAATCACCAATGGTTAGTTGGGAATCCTAGAGAAGAATATCTTTACCATATTGTAATCAATACCATTCTGCAACGTGTGACGCCTTGGTTCTCTGCGTCTGTTTAATGGTTTTTTAGGCTGTAAACCAACTTGATTATTTTGTAAATCAACTGCTTTACCATCACCCAATACTCTAGTTGGTCTTAATAATGTTCTAGTGTCAGATCTATAATTCACTGCTGGTAATTGCCTCTTTTCTACAGTTTTATCATCATTCATCAACAAACCCATTTGCCAATTTTGTAATACAGTTCGTATTTCAGATTTATCAAAATTTCTATCTGAATTAATAGTTCTAGCTTCTAATGCAGCACCCATTCTTGGAGGTTTTGGAGGTCCATACGCTTTATTTAATTTTAATTCAGGTCCACCTCTACCATCCATTAATTCTAAATGTGTGTGATTAACATCTTTTCGACCTGCTAGTAATTGTGGCATACTTAAAGTACGTTGTTGAGATATAGCATTATTTGGTCTAATAGTTGCTGTATTTGGAGATGTCCATGTTGTTTTATTTTGCTCATCAGGTATAAGTATTGGAGCAGATGGTGGTCTGTTTGGTTGACCATCATGTTTTTTAGAGTCAGTCTCTGTTTGAACTTGTAATAAACATATCTTGAGTCCTGTACAAAACCTTTCAAAAGACAATAATCCATTAGGTGGTGTGACTTTTTTAAGGCTATCTAAAACACCTTTTGGAAGACCTTGTGTTCCATCATCTTGCCATCTGCCTTCAATATCAGAAAATTTGACAAAGCCTGTATTTTGATCATCCATTATATCAAAAAGTGTACGCATAGCGGTAACAAAATGCTTTGGCAGCCCATCCGCGCTCGATGTTTGTATTTGTGCCATATTTATATATAAACGTGTTTAAAATATAATTGTTAAAAAACTGTGTATATGTAAATACTTCGGACTCATATATTACCTCCCGATAGTGGAAGGTATAACATTGTTTCTTAAGGAATATTTGTTCGATTAATCATTTCGATAATTAAGTATTGTTTTACTCATTTGACAGATACCTTTTCCTTTATTCAACATTTATTAAAATATGCTGCCAAATTATTAGCAGAATTATTTATGTCAAATGTAAATACACTTAAAATTTTCTGAATACATTTTTCTGTTCGTATTTTATTAACAAAGTTAACTTTTCAATAACCTCTTTAAACCTTCGATTGCATGAACTAAATATGAACGCAACAGATGAAACAGGTGTGTCGAAGTACGAATCTATCTAGAACGTACTACAGTTATTTTACTCATAGAAACAGTTCCTAAAGTATAATGTTTAATTCACATATTTATACACCCACAAATTATGTAATATATGGAATTAACACGTTAAAAATAACTTCCATTTTTTAATGTTTAACAAATACAGAAAATAAAATATAAATTTTTGAATTTTACTTACCGATTGTTGATAAGTATTTGTCACAAATAAAGTGTAGAATGATAGTAGTTCTCAAAATTTGATAGTACTACATGTTTATAATTTACGTGTCATTCACCCGAAAAAAGTAGTGACGTATTGTCAAAAAAGTATGTCGTTATATTTGAATGTCATAAAATATATTAGTGGAAATCAGGAGTGTTTCTTGGCGAAATATCATTTACGTGTAAAATGTATTTGATTTTTGATGTAAATAAATATATTAATACATTTGTTTTTAATTACTATAATTTCATATAATTATTAATTAGTTTTTTTTCTACATAACGATGTTGTAATAATTTTCTGCCATCATGTATATTGCATATATTATTCCATAAATTTAAACTATTATCTATTATATAATTTGCATTCAGTTTATTGGAATATTAATTTTTAATTTTAATAATTCTATTTGTAGACTACGTTTTCAGAAATAATGTTCTTGAATTAACGACAATTTACAGCATACATAAAATTTTAATTGTCTATAAAAAAATTTTAATCTTGTGTGCTGATCATGTTATCATAGGAAGCATGTTTTTATTCTAATTTTGCATTGATTTTTGAGGTGCCTCAACATTAGGACTTTTATCGATATCACTATCGGAAGATGAGGTATCCTGAGGTAATTCGATACCTTGAGTTAAAAGGCTGGTTATCCTCTCAACGTCGACTGTATCATCTTGCTCGTGTATTTTCTTGAGGGCATTTGAAACAATACAGAGGTCACCTCTTAGTTCACTAATCACCGCCGTAATTTTTTGAGCGTCCGTTAGTACTTCCACCGATTGTGTATACGGATTATAGCGTAATCCGAATGGACGTTGTATTTGGTTTGCAAATGCCCTAAAATCAGGAAATTGAAATTTCCTTCAATTTTTCTTCTTTTGTGCATTGCATTAAAATTTGCGGTAATTTAATCTTTAATAATTCCACAAGAATAAACTATGCATAAATATACCGCATTTTTTCTTTTGCTTCTTCAAAGCTGTCTGTATAGTAGTATGCATTTTGAAACGCAGTAATGATGCATTCTTGCTTGCAAGTTACTTCCGGGTCAAATCGAAATGTTTTCTCAGGAACGGAAACTGCGTGTTTTAGCTCTGCGACAGAAGACAATAAACCAGCCCCGTAAACGCGAAGTATACCATCTTGCTTACATAATCCAAATTCCACCGTAAAGAAATACAGCTAGAAATAAAAATAAAATAAAAGAAAAAATAAACTCAATATAAATAGTATATTTTTTTTTTTCTAGTTACGAAATGAACTTTTGTAAATTTTTAACATGACTAAAGCATGAAACACTTACAGTTGCCAATTTATTGATGTCCTCGTCTGAAGCTCCAAGAGAGGCGAGTCCAAGTTCCTGAGAGAATTGAGCGAAGCTTGGATTCGCTAGAAGCGGCATATGTCCTAGTAATTCATGACAACAGTCCCTATAAATGATTGAAGAACTTAAGGTAGAAATAAAAAAAAAAATTAAATTAAAGAGAGTTTACAATGTATATGTATCTATTTTTTTACGTTTTTATTTATTTTTATGTTTTTACGTGTACTATTTCTGTTATTCTTAAATTACTCACGGTTCAGGTGTGTAAAAAGGGTCGGATGAATGTCGAATATATTGCGTACAATGAAAGACTCGAAAAGCAAGGCCGGCTAAAAAATCTCTCGGTGAAAGATAGCCTGCTACCGGACGAAGTTGAAATCCAGTTGTCCCTAATAGTTTCATAAGCGAATTATATCTTTTTCCTATTTATGAATGATTTTTTGTTATAAATGTATTATCGTTAACTGTATACTTACGTTTCAAGAAAACATTTACGTCTTGCAACTGTGGTATGTTATTCTCTCTATCAATTACGTGTGAAATATCATATCAATTAGCTTTAATATGATTTAATTTAACTTTCTAGAAAATAGTTACCTATAGCCACAGTATTTCACCAGTTTTGGCCAATTTTCTAAATACTCGTTGCAAGCATGTTTCTGATAAAGCTGATGCAATTCACGGAAAACAGTTCCCCTATAATAATCGAGTGTCATTCATAGATAAAATCTAAGAGTATTAAATTATGAAAATTATTTATGAATATCGTTGATGCTAGTACTTGATATTACTCCTTTCTTATTTTCGGTTATGTTACATAGATATCAACTAAACTAGATTTTTATCTGCACTTCTTTTGTATATATCTAGTGAAAATTGTATTAGGAAAATTTCTCGAAGATCGCGAGGGTAAATTAAATAAGGACAATTAAGGAGTGCATTCAGCGCGAGCCAATCTTCGGCTTCTTCATACGTCGCGAAGACGAAGGATAGAAACTTTTCCTGTTATATTGGCAGAACTAGGATACTGTTTCGTAATTGAAGGAAAATCTCCAGAAGATACCGAAAGAATGACCTCTTTTTCATCATAGATTGCCTTCATATTTGTTGAAGCACGTGCGAAGATTTCTCGTAACGAGCAGAAGTTCTACCGAGATTCCATACACTAAACCTATTTATTTCTATTAAATTTTCATCTAACTGTTAAGATATCTATTTATATGTCTCTAAAAAGGACCAGAACAAGTTAAGATAAATTTACAAACCATGTTCTGATCTCTTCTAACGTGTATTGAACACGAGGAATCGGTTGGCCGCTGAAAGATTATTAATTAATGTAAGCAATCTTTTCCATATTACAGTTGATAATTGTTTTCTTTTTTCTGTCATATATAAATCTATTGAAATTGTACATACTATCTGTAATTGTTCGCGATATCGGCGAATTGTACACGACGTTTGCGATATACCGGATCTTTGAAGCCCTAAAAGTATTGAAATAAACTTATTATTCGAAATATTTTACGTAATATCCGATGTATTTTTAAGTAGAACATATTTAACAAAATAAAACGATTGGAAAAACGTACAGGATGATCTGCGTCTAATTCGGATCCGTACATTAGTACTTTCTGCGTTTGATCTAAGTCTGATATTTTTCGTGGAAACCAAGGCATGTCTACTTCGCTGAAATCTACAAAGTTTAAATGTGAATAGGGTTTCTTGATTTTCTGGAATTTATTTTTATTTTACAAAATACGACTTTAGTATGAAATTCCTTCACAAAATTATTTGGCGAAATGTACTGTAAAAATGGTTATCGTTCACGATCGTTTAAATTTCAAATGTACTAAAAGAGTTAACAGCATTTAAATAATTTAGAGTAATATTTAAATGAGAAGGAGGATTTGATTAGCGAGGGTAAAGAACTTACCAAAACTTGGAGCTGCTGACAGTAATGGAGCATGAGGAATACTTCCCATTTGTTCGTATTGTGCCAAATTAATTGCGGCTACTTCTCGATTCAACATCCTTGTTAATTGTTCCATTCGTTTCGAATCACATTCAACATCGACAAGAATTTCGAATTCAGAATCACGACGCAACGATTTCCGCGATTCGATATGGATGACATTCACACCTAGATCCTTTATTGTAAATTTTATTATAAATTTTATTATAAATTTTATTGCATTCTAATGTAATAAAATATATTGGACCACTGTTATGCAACATTGCGGCATTTTCAAATATGCTACATATGTTTTTAATATCGAGATACGTATTTAATGAATGCTATAGATACTTTAACTTTTTCAAAAAAATATACGCGTTTCAAAAATATTTTGATGAAAAATAATAATTATTTCGTTCACGTTTAGATTGATAAAATTACGTTTACTATTTGATCATTGGGTGATATACGTTTTATACGATATTGTTAAATATCATACCTGGAAAACTTGCAATGCTCGTGCTAAGCCGCCGACTTGATTTTTTAACGAGAAAACTACGGAATTTTTATTATCGTTGTTTGGTTTGCGTTCGACCATGGGGATCTGAATGAATGAAAGAACATATCTATGTGTTACGTCGAACTATTGCTATAAATTGAACTCTTTCCTCTTCTATACTATTTTAACTAAATAATTTCACAGAGATGTTATATGAAGAAGAAGAAATATTAAAGATAAATGGAACAACAGAATTGACAAAGAATAATAGAAGAATAGGTAAAAGATGTTCTACACTTTGCACAATTCCAAAACCAACGCACATCGCTCGATTTGTGTATTGGACTTCCTTCTTTAATCGCCCAGTGTTCGCCTCTTCTGTATAGCCACACCCCAAGAAGACCTTTTCCGGAGCCACTCATAGCGATCTCGATTTGAAGACAAAAAGACTTTACGATTTTTTAAATCGGTCTTTCTGTTTTTACTTTTAAGTATACTTTTTGCCGATGAAAAACTCAATCGAATGATAGAGATACAAATTTTCTATACAAATTTTTTACCGAAATTACACTACCGCAGCTTCCGGACGAAATTGGTAATGTTTGGAAGTTCAACGATAGTCCTTCAAGGACCACGAGCAACAGTGTCCTAGTACAAGTGTCTTCTGCTCTTCTTAAGACCTCGGTCCCCTCCGTGCACGCGTCCTTCTCAATGACGATCTGTTCGCGATTGGTCGACGCACAGTAGTACCAAGTTTCCCCATTGGTCGGATAAGACTTTTCATGGGGTTGAAGAGGAGTGTTGGCTCACCCCATTTAACGGTAACTGTGCCGATTGCAGAATGTATTCCTCGTGACGTCACTGGAGTCCACGAAACGTGGGTGGTGCAAGAACTGGCGGCGATGAACGGGAGAAGAGATTGCAAGGTCTTCGAGACGGAGCTAATTTTTTCGGTACCCCTCTTCGCCATTCTCAAAGATTTCTATCTTTTGACTCGCGCAACGTGTCGAAGCGTTTATTCTTCGGGTTTCTGGGCCAAGTGAAATTAGTCTACCATGGAAAAGACACGAATCCAACTATCATTGATTTGTCGATTTCATGGTTACTTTGTATTTGTTCGGTGCTTCGTGATAATTCGTTTCGACGTGGACTTCGTTCTCGCAGTAACGATTGCGATCCACTTTCTTCAGATTTTCTTCCACTTTCTTCTTCTTCTGTCTGAAATGATCATATAACGCGTGAAATAAGACAACATCTTATGTAATTCATTATACCGTTAATGTTTATTTAAAAACGCGAAGCCGAAGGACCAATACTTTGCTGAATGTCAATCACGATTTTAGACAAAGAAGTGTTTTTCGAAGGGTACCGTCTCCTATGAGTATTTAATTTTTTTTTTCTTTTTCTTCAACGAAGCAATCGTTCCCGCTTTTGTGTTTCTCTTTCACGGAACAAAGGGGGTGTTTAATAAAAGCTCGAATGCCCGAGGACGTTTCTTCGCCTCGTGGTAAAGCAGATGCAGCACATTACCAATGTCCATCACTTACCACTATCAGCTACCACCCTTGCTGAATTATACTGAGCGTTCCTGTGGCATTAAGAGAATTGAGAGTATCGTTCGATCTGCGGGGAGGTTCTTCCGTTTATCGTTACGTATGCCAGTCACTAAATCGTCTTAGACGTCAAAAATGCGTTTCTAGATATTATTTTTCGGGGAATATATTGAATAAATGGCGAGGTTTAATTAATTTATAATTAATTTAACCGTATTATTTTGCTGAAGCTAATCGGCCATCATCGATATTGTATTCTTTTATAAGATTGAGATGAGTTGAGATTGTATGTTATTATTCTTATAAAGTGTTTATTAATATGGAGAAACGTAAGGTTCTACAGAACTTTAGAGAAATGTTAAATATTTCTTTTTCTACAAGAAATATTTTAATTTATCATAGTGACTTTACTCATTCATCACCCGCATAGTGAAATTCACTTCCCATTCACAGAGATTCTACAAAACATGATATCTCCCGTTCAACTAATCCTTTGAGCACAAAGTTCAATATTCGTAATTTGCTTCTATTGTATTGTGAATAACTTAAAGCCATGATATCGTTGAGTGGTAAAATATAAATTTGATTTTCACATAGGGAAGAAAATTCTCTTCAAAAGCTGTAGTGAAATTTTCGTGATTTATATAGAGTAACTTGGTTTCCAAGCAAATGGATTAAATTGGTCGATATATCTCCTTTTTTCTTCTTTTAGTGGTAAGTGATGAACGAAATCTCGGTCTCTATGAAGGGTTAGTGAGTCATATATACATGTTTCATTAGATTTCGTAGTTATTTTGGACCATTATGAACTTTTTAATTCGTTTCCAATAGAGGTATAACTCAATTTATATTAAATCTATAAATATTATAAAAATAGCATAAGTTTCCTTTGAAAGAATTCATACTTTCCTTATATTTTTATATTTTATTATTATTGAATTTCATTATGGGTACCAAAATTTTATAATGTATTGTTTCTTCGATTTCATGAATGACGGAATCCACAATTTGAAACAATGTTCAACAATGAGATGATAAAAATTTTATTATAAAAAATATATAACTCCGTCTCTTTTAAGATCAAGATGTGTTCTTTCTAAGTACATTTCCGGCTAATTTGAGTTTTCAAGTTAAATCAAGTTTCTACTTTTCTCTTAAATCTTCCATTAAAGTTTTAATACAAATCTGCCTCTTCAGACGATTTAATCGATTAGTGAAAAATAAGGAACTGAGTAAGAATAAGGCAATGGGTATTCGCTGTTTGTAGATAGAAAGATCCTCTTGGTGCGTGCTCTCAGCACGAGTGAGGGGGGTACTGATTCAAACAAAGCTTTTTAGCTGCAAAGGAGGACAAATGAAAATGAAGAATTGAAGTAAAAGATATATTTTATCCATACGAAATAGACTGAAAATGATGTTCTTGGGAACGGTGATCGGTATAGCTTGATTCACGAAGCAATTTAATTCTGGCGCAGATCCAATGCAAATTGCCATGCTGTTTCTTTGTTGATATATTTTACCTAACCAAATAACTAAAACCACTGAGGTACCCGATTCGGGAAATCGCTAAGAAATACAAGGTCGTGACCTGGACCGTATGCAAACTGAATCTCCTTAAACTTTAAGCGCTCGCAACTTCTTTAACTCGATTAACCGGCATTAATTACTCTCCTTGAGTCGTCCGTATCAACTACCGTCCCCCTTCCACAGCTCCTTCTCGTTAACTTTATACTTCTCTCTCCTATATCGAGAAATATACCTGCCATATACGTATACAAATACAATATTTAGGAGTATTCGAATAAGTATTCAAATGTAGGGCACATAGAAAGTTTCCTAGAGGAGATCGCTATTTTATTATATATGCCCTTCGTGTCGATATGAAAAATAAATGCCCCCGATTCCTGCCTTCATTTTTGCCCATCTAAAGGTCAAGCTAACAATCTAACTAAACGATATAAAGGAATCCTTTATCTCTCCCTCTTTTTCTCTATTTCTCTCTATTTAGAAGGCTACTCGTTAACACGAGCAAACCGATTCATCCGTTTCTCCACGTCAAAGGAATAAGTTTACCCTCCTATTCCGGAGTGTAAAACTTGCTGCTTAGATCTCAATACACGGTGTCGATATTTTCGGTTCTGGGCGTTTCGGGGTCACAGGATAGTCGTCACGATCGGGACGCCCGATTGAAATATTAAATCGTGCAAGTGCGGCTTGTCAATGCGTTTCGGCCTCGGTACGGCCGGTTGGCTTCTCCCGTTCGATTTCTTGTCGTCGTTCATGGAAAATCATCGAGTGTACGCGGGGGTGTGCGCGACGCTCACCACGCAGGAATCAATAGGGCGCCGCTAGTGGCGTCGAAGCGGTGGTGCTCGAGCAACGTCGTCCCCCAACATCAGCGACATCTTGGCCCTAACGCTTTTCCGGGGGTCGACGAGCAGCTCTCCTCCAGGCCGTCACGGCCGCCTTCAGGACCGACCCCACGCCGTGTCTTCTTGGCTGGATACCCCAGAATGGCCGACACCGAATTTGAGGAATTTCGACACTACTTCGAGAAACTTCCGCAGCATCTCAAGGCACCACTTTCCAATTACACGTGAGTACACGCGTTCGCTTATGGTCTTCAGGATAGAGACGTTCGTTGGGTTCGTGCAACGTGTGGTGTTAATTGACGTTTGAGAACGATTCGTTGGACGGGGTGGTAATGTGGAACATTACCGATGTCGGTGATGCATTAATAGAACACCGTGTTTCAATGTCTATATTTGATCTTTTCCTTTTTCGTTTCGTTGTAAATGTACAATTTCCTTGAACCAGTTGCCTTCTCATACAGTGCCTGAATGGGGTCGAACTTTGACGTAAACGAACCTCCTCGAATGGGGGTTGCGATAACGAGACTGTAATAGGGCTTCTGTTAGTATAGTAGTTAGATCGCATTTTTCTAGAAACGAGTCGTATGAAATTTTAGACATCGCAGGAACGTTCTTGCAAAATGAATTTGTTGGCGATATTCGATGTGAATGAACGTGTATGATGATATTATATATCAACAGTGTCACAACTGATGCGTCATAAATTAGCTTCATTTGATTGCGTCGAGAAAATGATCCACTTGGTTTAACGTCTGATCATATAATTACTTTCTCCTGTAGGAGTATCTGTTTGTTTTTTATTAATCCGCGAAGTTACGTACGATTTCAACCCATTGTGAAATAATGTCATCATTTTGAGATTTGCTTTTGTATTTTATAATTAATTTAGCTCGTGTTAATCAAGTCTCGTTGAGATTTTAATAGCACCACGATTCGACAAATCCCATATTCAGGAGGAGATTAAAGGGGCAAGGCATAGGTGCATCAAAAAGATACACAGTGGAGGCGCGGTCGATGCTATTCCGTCTATGTAAAATAAATTCAGTTAAGAAGAATGTGATATATATATAGAATACTTTACAAATATTATCATTTTCAACAAAGAATTGGCGAATAAGCTATAGAGTTGAATATTCTTTCCAGTTAATATTACGATAGAATCATATTATTATTTTATATTTTGTTTTTAATGTATTATTTTATCTAATCATTTCTTCTTATCGCTTCTTGAGTTATAGTTGCTCAAAGTATGTACATATTTTTCTACGTTGATTATCAAATAATCACGAATTAAGAAATAAACGTTTTAAAAATTTATTTTGTCATTGTGAAGTTTGATGGTATTTTAGCAAGTAATCGATCTTACATCGGAAACGCAATGTATGCGTGACAATTTTATTTACTCATAGTCGATGATACTCGATGCAACGTTAGAAAAGAACAAAATAAAATCGATAGGAGTCTGTGGCGCACGCGAAATCATTCCCACTTTAGCTGTCAATCTTCATTACTTGACTTTTAAACGAAACAAACACACGATGGATGTGGATAATGGACCGGAGTCGCGCCTCAGTTTTTATCATTAATTATCTAATCTTTCGTCCCCATTTCTTTGTAACCTCGAATTGCTTATAACTTTTGAAGTTTGTAAATAGAAATTGATTTATAATGACTCTATGTTTTCGTCATAATATCAAATAATTCAATTTATAAATCGTCGTTCTATTTTTCAGAAAAATAGAATGCAATTTTCCATATAACTTTTGGATGGTATGGACATTGAAACGTATAGAAGATATGTATGTATATCGTAAAACACAAAATTAAGATAAAGCTGTTGTTTACCTGTTGGTTAATAATACTTAAGCGAATCTTAGCTGTGATGAAGTATTCTCTGAAAGTTCCAACTTATTAACTTTGGTCCACTTGATTTTTAAATGGATAATACTTTAACAGAAGATGCATCAAAGCACGATACATTGATTTCGGTACAAAATCTCAATCGGTACTGACATTTATTGATTTATATGAGACCTTGTTTGCTTCCTGAAAATGAAAGTGAACATCTTATCACAGAAGAAGAACGTAATTTTCATATTACAAAGCATCTAATTACAGTGTAAACGATCAATGCAAAGGAGTGACATTCATCTACATCGCACGAAATTAATTTAATTATATAATCAATCCTTTGATACGTACAGAAATCAAATTTCCAGACACAGGTCTTGCTGATATTATTTCCTTAAAATCGTTTTCGCCCTTTAATTTATTGATTTCGTATTATGAACTCCTCCATGGCTCAGTATTTGTTTCTACGACCCATTCTGAATTTAGAACGAAAACCCCTGCCGATACTCGATAAGGACATTTTCAGGTAACATTTAATTATTGCCACTTTACCATTAATATTTTTAAGTATTAAACAATTGAAGTTTAAATGATTAATCCTGTGAATTGTTGTCATTGAAAACAGGCTCGTTCATGATGTGATGATAGATGATTCGCCGACCTCGTCGCAGGATAGCGACGCGGAAGTCGAAAGATCTTGCGACGGAGTCGTCGGCGATTCCGAGGATGAAGAAGTAGTGGCCATTCATCGGCATGGCAATCAGAGTGGACACACTTCCGGGGACGATAGCGAAGATCTTGATCACAACTGTTCCATCGTAGTTGACAGCGACTTTAGGTTGGTAACATCGTAAGTGGACATCACTTCTTCTTTGGTCTGAAAACATAGTTCTGTTAGATGTAGATTTCTAATTCGAGACTATTATATTTTCTTTGGAATCGTGCAGCTTTTATTTAATTTTTTCTATATTTTATAATCAAGTTATCGTGAATTGAAATGGGAATGTTAAGTAATTCGTTTTGAACTTTTGAAAATATAGATTTAGTTCTGCATCTCTCAAACCCATTTTGAGTCCAACTTCCCGTAAAGCCTGCATGCGAGAAAGAAGCATCCGTTTGCTATTAATTCAAACGTTTACAATCAAGCACCCTTTATAGATTTCCAAGGTTATGAGTATTTTTAAGCGTTTCGTATCTTTCCTAAAAGAAGAAAAAAAAAAGATATCGATGTTCTTTTAATTTTAGAAATGCATTATAATAAAGACAAGTTTGCACATCGATAGGATAGTAAATTGTGTTATGTGTTCCTGTGACATGTGTGTACCCTCTTGCATCTTCAGAAGAAGTGAATCCCCCTTTTTGTTGAAACATTGAGAACAGATTACATTACATCTGGTAAACGCGATGCGATCTCAAAGCGTGTGTATCAACTGACAAATAAGAAACAAAAAAAAAAAGAGAAAAAAAATGCCGATCGATTAATCACAACATCGATCGGATATAAAAGATAAAAGTGTGTAAAGATACGAGTGTACTAGTGCTTGTGTAAAGGATTAAGATTTGTGATCCGTTCTCAATTGTGACAATTTATCAGTGGCACTTGGGAAAAATTACAAAAAAAAACAAGTAAAATCTACACACTTTAAATGGCATGGTGAAAGGTAGCTTAGCTCACTACACGACTACCCTTGGGTGACATTAGCTTGTTCGGTGGACTGAGCAGCAGGGGTCGATCGGCAGGCGTCGGTGGACCGGGTCCTGGTGGAGGTAGCACTACCGTATCCCGTAACGGTGGTAGAGATAGCGTAGTCAGCGATGTTGGAGATTCCTGGTCGAGTCTGAGTTCCTGGCCAACACCGGAACATGTGCCCTCGAATCGTCCTGGAAGCGGTAACAACGAGCGCAGACGTCGGAGATTGCCGGAAATCCCTAAAACGAAGAAATGTAAGAGAATTATATTACAAACTTTATAACGTATTTAAAAATCATCAAAGTCGGTAATGGTATCCCTAATCTGCAACTTTACCATCGTTGTTTACCTCTTTAGATTTCATATTAATCAGTAACAGCCCACTTAAGCTATGTAGAACTGTGTAGTAGCGGTGATAGTTCATCAGAGATAATCTAGTTTCCTTTTGACTTTCATACTTTCGTTTCTTCGCGGGATGAAATGATAGGTGATGAATCATCACTGATGATGATGTTTCAGTATCTTTAATAAAAAGAAGGGTATTATGCTGTAACACCACAAGGCAACCTAGAGTTAACGATGCAACCCTAAGTATGCAACATAATATTCGTCGCAAATCAGCCATATTTTACGCGTTTCTCATCGCCTATCTTTATTCAACGATCTTGACGATATCACTCTTTTAACCGCAGAATCGACGACCGCAACGAAAGAAAATCCATAATGACATCTAACTTACGTCACAACACTTGTTCGAGGTCCGTACATCTGATCGAGACTTGTTCACCTGTGGCTATTACGATGGTCACGATCAGTCTTATTTGTACTGTAAGTACTGTGCACCGCTGACTTGAAGGTACTTGGCAGGCATGCAGGTCTAATTGGTCAGTACGAAATTTAAGTTGAGTGACGAAGAGAATAATAAGATAAAAAGAGTGCGAAAGTCCAGTGTTAATCTATCGTATTGCAAATACAATGAGAATATACACTAAATATATATATTAAATATAAGTTTAAACATACTGACAGTGAGATTGCCTTTCCCATGGTTGGTACATCCAGATGAAGTCATGATTCGTAGTTTCAATAAATACGGGGATTCTTACTCCTATGTTAGCCTGTGATGGCAAAAATCTGAAATCTAAACATTCACCTAATGAAACGTCAAACATGGAAATAGGTAGAGTTAAACCAAGATTCCCCCTTACCTCTGTGTCGTTCCGGAAGACTTCTTGTGAGCGGTGAATAGTACCACTATACATCGAGCGAATTATAAGTATTCAATAATTGTTTACATATCTGAAAATCTAAGATGTTAGATTCATACGATTTCAGATATTTCTCCATTTTAAAACAAGGTAGCCATCGTCTCATTTGTCGTTTCAATTCAATATACTGTACATTTATTATTTTGGTTTTGCAGCTCTGCCTGTCGGTCAGATGTACACACAGTCGTCGTCCCTGGCAGACGAATTGAACGCAACAACTGGTTCAAATTCCAACCGACCGCATTTAGTTTTACGGAAATGTCATTCGAGGCTTCGTCATGAAGATAGTTCACCTGATAGCGAACGAATGGCCACTGACAGTGGTCACTCCACTGCTCACTCGCCAGAAAATGGACCGAAAAGCGTGTCGCCGATACCCTGTAACACATTACAGAATACGGATTCTGTTTCACCAAGTAGTACACCAGGTGATCTTTATCTTTTAATTCAATAATTTATTATTATCGTAAAAAATTCATAAAATATTGCTTCTTCGTTATCTTCATTTGACAGAATTTATTTAATTTTGTTTTGTAATATATATGTTTATGACGTGACATGATATCGTGACTCGTTACTATTTTTACTTTTTATTATATCTGTTTTTATGTCATTTCAAAGGAAGCGGCGGTGTGCCATTTACTCAGTTGGAACTACTAGAAGCGACACATCGAGGGTTGCACAAATTCGTGCCAAGACATCACGACGAAATCGATCTCGAAATTGGTGATCCTATTTACGTTCAGAAAGAGGCTGACGATCTATGGTGTGAAGGTTCGAACGTTTTTTAATTCCTATGTTCACTCAATCTGTTGTCCGTCCTGAATAATCCACTAAAAATCAAAATAAAGAATATATTTATTTACATATATTTTTATTCTTAAATTATTCCTCGGAAAACATTTCTATTATATTACCCTAACAATCGAAAATTTTTGTCGAAGAACATTAATAATTAACCTGTTAAAAATGATTAACATATACCATATGTCCTTTGTTTGGATTCAAGGCGTGAATCTGAGAACAGGCCGTCAAGGTATCTTCCCCTCTGCTTATGCAGTCGACATGGATTACAGTGATTTTGACCCTTCGGCGCCGAAGGTGAAAAGGGAACGATATCTTCTAGGTTACTTGGGATCCGTGGAAACATTGGCGCACAAAGGTACTGGTGTCGTTTGTCAAGCAGTTCGAAGAATCGTTGGAAGTTCGCAAGATTCGCCCGTTTCGCAAAGCTGTATTTTGGAAGTGTCCGATCAAGGTCTTCGAATGGTCGATAGAAGTAAACCACGGGTACATTAAAGAACATATTTGGACTACTCTTTTTTTATAATGTGTATATATATCTTTCTCGTCTTTCTTTCAAGTTAATAATACGTTGTATTTTTGCAGAAAAATCAAGGACCTTGTCACGACTATTTCTACTCGCTTAAGAACGTCTCATTTTGTGCATTTCATCCTCGCGATCATCGCTACCTCGGCTTCATTACGAAGCATCCTACCTTGCAGAGGTTCGCTTGCCACGTGTTCATTGGTCAAGAATCCACGAGGCCCGTTGCCGAAGCTGTCGGGTACGTATATTATTTTATTTCCTTATTGTTAATTTCTTTTCATAGTTTTTACTGCATAATTTCATTTCCATTTCTTAATTGAATTAACCTTAATTTCTATTTATTGGTCGAGAATTTGTATGTAATTAAAATTTCTCTAGTCGTCGTAGATACTATGCTCGCATATAAAATCAATGTTCGTTTTAAATTTCTGACGATCGTTAAAAAGAGGTAATTGGTATATAAAAGTGTGTAATGTTTTCTTTCGTAGGCGTGCTTTCCATCGGTTCTACACGAAGTTCATCGAGACTGCTTTCCCGATAGAGGATATCTATATCGAATAGATTATACTGCTGGCCTGTCGTATAGCGGCTACGGAGGAAAAGATAAATCTCACATTCCTTTGTCCCGTGTACATACTGCCCTTAGCTGTAGATAATATAAAAGAAAAATGATAAACGCGAATCAAACACCCAATTTACGTACATATACATGTATGTATATATATATGTGTACATACCTGTATGTATAGCTATATATATATATGTATATCTATATGTATCGAGCAATTTCGGGAAGCGTCACGACGGGACCGATTATTCAACGCCGTCTCTTGTTTTAACATACACGTTTAGTTTATAATTCGTACGTCTCGATCGTTTGCCATTTTCATCCATTCCCTATTTTCCATATACGCACGAATCAATCAATCGTTCCCTGTGAACAATTTCGTTAATTGCAATGTTATTTTATTTTTTTTCTTCTTTTTTATTTTCCTACGTTACTACGATGGGATGCGGCGACTTGAATTCCGAGTGAAAAGTCTTTAATATTTGAATAACGTACACTAATTACTACCAGATAAGAATTAATCGTTAACCTTTCGATCCTTCGACCAAGATACCCGTATAGCGACACGTAGAACGAGTCAAAAACGACAATAGTGTGGATCGTTCCAACGTCTTTATTTGAAAATTGAAAATAAAATGCGAACTATTTCATTTGTATTCATTTCGTCGTGCGCGTGTCGACCGATCGATTTTCAGTTTCAACCGTCAAAACGTTTCGAGTTTGCTTTCACTCCGAATTACGTTTAAATCGTGGCAACGAAAGAATATCGTTTTTTCAAAGAAACGATCTCCAAACGCGCCAAGAGATATTATTATCGTATCGTATTTAGAGATTCGTCTATTTTTCTATCTTTCTTTCCGAAAGAATCGTTAATTATAGATTACGTTGTAAACGATAAGGCTTAACGTTTTACGATCTATTCGATTTCGCGACCTCTGGATGATTCGAATCGCAAAACGACGATTGATCGAAACGCACATTGGCCTCTCTGAATCTCGATTATTATTAACGATTGTACTGCGTTGCAGTGGTTCGCAGACATCTTCATGCAGTACGTATCAAATCGCACGCACCGAATGATGAATTGGCGATCTATATATTATATGGAAAAAAGGAAGAAAAGGTACATAAAATAATCGCGATTATTAATTTGTACCATTCTTATTATAATGTTCGATCGTGTGTCTCATGATAAGTCTCGTATGAAATGTTTCGAATATCCTATAATTTTCGTTTCTGTAAACAAAAATTGTCATTGATTTTTCTGGAATCTCTTTTCTTTCTCCATAAATGTAAAAAATTGAATCACGTTGGGTATCGTTTATACGACTACGTGCTTGGGATTTGATCCACGCTGTATACGTATTAAACAGCTCGGTTATACTGTATGTTGAATAAAAATTGAGAGACAAAATGCAGTGCTTACTCATTGCTAAGAGAATCTGTCTGCACCATCGTCTATCAATTATACGTGCCTTTGATTGAGATCGCCTCGAGTATCGTGCCTTTCCGATTATTTTCTCATACAGGTACAAATTAATATCCGCGTGTGTATAAGTCATTATTACTTACTCTTGAATTTTTCATAAAGTGCATCCTCGAGTAGAATAAAAAGGTGCGTGATGCAAAAAAATGAACCACTTTGACTACATTTATGTCCGTTACCTTTAAAAACTTGATTAAAATGTCAATTTAATTGTGGCAAAAAACTATCGTTGACCGCTTGTGGAAAGTGAAACTGTATTATCGTTCTTTCTCTCGATTTTAACATTTCGATGTTTTGTCGTCGAGACATTCGATTGGGGATTCGATTCGAACTTTCGCTCGACCGATATATAAATTAAGGTATAGTTGCAATTTTAGTAGCGATACAAAAGAATAAATCCTTGTTATCGATCAAGATTTTTTGTTATCTCGTAGTTAATAAACGGGCAACAGGCCTTGTTTATTGAGTTATCTGTTCGAAAAGAAGTACACGCTTCTTTCGTTCGCAAAACATATCTTGGAAACGTTAGTCAGTTGTTTTCCGATACTCGTGATCCAAATGAATTCTATATGCTTAGTGGAACGATTTATTTGTTTCTTAGATGAATGCTCAAAAAAAGAAAGAGAAAAAAGAAGGAAAAGAGAAGAAGAAGGGAATGTTTAAAAGCAGCAGAATTTTATGCGGACAAATAACATAATTACAAAATAACAGTAAAATGATCACAACTCAGAAGAACATGAAGAAATACTGTCAGTTGTGTGATAGTGTCCAGCGTGATAAGGTCTGTAATAGTCTTCGCAGGGCGGTCAGTCTTGCAGTTATTTTAAGATCCTGTTGTGTAATAAATATAAACTCATCATTTTTTTTTTAAAAATTTTTTTTTTTTTTTTTTTTTTTTTTTTTTTTTTTTTTTTTTTTTTTTTTTTTATTGGAACAATTAAATATCGCATATTGACTCTATGAAATAGACAGGACACGAGGAGAGAAATACATTTAAATGAGGGTTGCAATCTTTGTAATTTTCATATAATTTCTACATATATTTCTTTCAGGCAGTATTATTTACAAAAATGTTCCACCTCCTACGAAGTCTTGATAATTCAGTCTTGACACAAGTTATACGTGTACATGATCCCAATCATTATAATATTTCTGCATATTAAGAATTTATCCTTTTTTCTTTCGTTATTTACGTTTTTCTATATATGCGTTTTATTATCATTTACTCATATTTAATATATTTAGAAACAAAAATTAGAAAAGATTATAATTTTACCGATTGGTTTTCGTACCAATCACATAGAGAAAAAAAAAAGAAAATCATTTTAATTATATTCCATTGTTTTCTTTTGTTTCGTTTTTGTTTGATTAGAGAGTGGAAAACGAGTCCCTCGAAATTAATGTTTGTATACATGGCAAACTCTCGTTTTTAAATTCCTTCGTTCCAACTTCTGTGCTGCTCTGAGCAACGCGACTGTAAACATTTTTATAAATTTCTGCATGAATCTCCTCATCGTGCACAGTAATATCAATTCTTTTTCTCAGCTTGGAAGAACAGAGGAACGGAATTCAGTTATATTTTCTATCGTTCTTTGGCAATCTACGAAGAGCTATACACCTCCAATATTACAAGTTGCTTATAGTTCTGAATACTTTGCTTTGATGACGATATATAGTCAATTGTTATCATTTACTGATATTAACATATTCCAACTGAGCATAAATATATGTACATAAAAATTGGATATAAAATTAATACAAAAATATTCGGGGCATGTATAAATCTTGTGAATACTTAATAAAGATACGAAAATATACAATAATTGCAATTAAACAATCAACTCATTGGTCATTTTATTATGTTCTCGTTTAATTTGCAAAGTATAGCACGTATCAACTCGAAGGTGCATTTCTCTTCAAAGAAGCTCATAAAATGCGAATTACATTCGCAGTATCTTAACAGCTACGGTGAAATTTACACAGTGTTCGACAAGTTTTCGAAAGCACCGAGGTTAAAAGTTAAAATAGCTGTACAAAGATGCTTGCTCGATAATTCATTCTGTACACGCAATACGGATGCGAATATGTGTGTCGTTTTTATTTCATTTCATTTGAAATGATAAAAAGGATTAGGAACCGATATTTCCAGCCCTTGTGAAGGTATATCTGTGCAAGCATGAAAATATATCTGACAATTAAAAAACGACTCACATATTGCATGGTGGAGATTTTAACATGAATTATTAGTTTTCGGTATTCCTAAAATGTAATGATTAATATATTACTATGCGGTTACCTTACGCAAAAGCGTAATACTGTCATCATAAAGTTTCAATTTTTTTCTTTCTTGTTTCTTTCTTTTTTTTCATTTTTTAAACGGAAAACGAGCACATGGTAAATTGTTTCATATTTTCGTTTCCATTTTTACAAACAAGATTACGAAGAGACGACCGCTTTACATAAAAGTTTTCAAAATTGCTTGATGCACAGAATGCAGATGCAAAATTAATATTGTAATTTGACCGCACAATGATTTGAAAGATTTCATTTTACTTGTAAAGATAAATGTGTAGAAATGTACAAGAAGTATGTACACAATTATATTAAATTGTGCTTGCGTATGTTAACTTACAGAAAGAAATCGTAAAAATCACTTATGTGCAAACAGCAGAGTATAAAGTATAATAAAGGTAGTATTTACAGTATTATAAGATTAAACGTTTAGCTAATTCTGTAGTGCCATCTGTTTGTGTCACGTTTTGTTCATTTGTAGCATAATTTCTGAGCAGACAGAAATTTTGATTTCTGGTTGAATGTTGAAAAATCTTTGTAATTTCTTTTATCTTAGATAAATGTTACACGTTTTTCACTGCCATCAATAAATAATATTCAAATAGTTACGAATTGTGTATATTGTTATCTTATTATGAGGCTCCAAAAAACACATAAAAACTACTTATATCATAATTTTTTTAATTAACAAGATATAGATACTACATATCTTGATCAATTTGTAACTGGTTCAATAACAATTAATTGTAAAAACATTATATCTACGCATATTTTTGAGACATACAAAACATGAGCACAGTGGCTAAGCTCGAGATGCATCGCCAAAGATCACAAAATACATGAACAGTTTGCTTGACAAATTTAAGAGACCAGGAGTGACACTAAACACAGACACTTTAAACTTGCTGTTTGTACTATAATGATCATGACAAATTGAAAAGTCTGCCATTCACTTAACTAAACGCCCCCATAATATAACGTGGATTACACGTGGGATCATATTTTATATCTTTACTAACAGTATGATAGTACGTAAAAAAGTTTGGATCTTTATCAACGTCGAGCGATCATGAGGCAAGGATAGTCGAATCCTCTTAACCATAAAAATGAGCATAATTTATATCTCAAGCTTTCTTAATATTGTACATTTATATATTATAATTTTAGTTGAATGAAACAAAAATAGAGTGACGATCTACCTCAATACGCTTAACATCGATGTCAATGACATAAAAACGAGTTAACGATCATTTTTACAATGAACATGATGTATACATATATAAGAACTATACGCAGATAATCCCCCTTTTCCCGTAATTTCATAATTCTCATTTATACAAAGCATCGTTCAAAGATAATTCTCGGTCAGAATAAATATATAATTTATATTAGCTCTTGCTAAGTCATCAAGCTCATAAAATAATGTGAATTATCTTTTACAACTCGAGTCCACATGAATATTGTTGCTTTGAAGAATATCATGTTTACAATGCTTTGTCATCATATTTCCAAATAAGAATTTACGTTAAAAGGAGTGAGGGGGCTGCTTGAACATTAGAACATCATTTGTAAACTACAATTCTAAATCCTACTGATATCGTAACTCGTATCAGTACGCAGGAGCATGAAAAACTCTTTATTTGGAAAATAGCACACGAGTTGCAAATAGATGTACAACATGAATGAACGATGAACAATTCACAAAAAAAGAGAAAACGGTGATTTCCTTAATCGGTAATACCGATCGATGAGACATTCGGAATTCTTATTTACAGTTTATCAGCCTTATTTATACTTGTACATAGGAAAATGGAACTAAATGATATACATATAGATCTATTATTCATATGTTTTTGAATATGTCCATAATGTATGCGCCTCTATAATTTTTCCTGTGCACAATTCCATTCTGTATATTTAACATTTTTTTTTACATTGAATCGCAGATTCATTTACTTGATTATGCTTGTTTATGGTCTTGTCACTTGTAGCTTAAAAAATCATGATCGGTAATATGTCTGTTTTTAACAATACCACACATCAGTCAATCATGAAAGTTTCATGCTACTTCTGAGTAGGTGCTAAAGTTTAAATATAATTAATAAGGTAATATAAAGTAACATAATATTGGGTGGATATCGAGGCCAGTAAAGTCCAAAAGATCGCCATAACAAAAATATTGTAAACACGAAATATAACATTCATTTACGTACATAATGGAACCAAATTTAAAGGTCCATTGTGAAATGACAACATTTTCTTTGTTACTACGTTTTTCAATGAAGTAAAAAATTTTAAAAAGTAACGAATTAATGCGTAAAATGCTTAAAAGTGCATACCTATGTGACAAATAGTGCGTATGTAGATACACAAAGAAATAATAAGCACTCCACACAATTTTAAAGATCGTTTTAAGGAAAAGAAATCGATAGGACTCGAAACATTTATAGTTAATATGTTACTGTTCATTTTCACATAACAATAATAAAAATTAGATACAATTACGTATCTAATATTCTTTTTATAATTTGTTCTTTTTTTAGGAGTACGTTTCTTTTGTTCAAAACAGAAATTTTGTACTACCAACTTACTTTTAGTACGAGTTCATTCGAATTCCGATAGTTATGCTTTTCTTTTGTCATCATTGGCATTCTACAAGTAGGATTTAAACAGAACTGGTGCTGTATCCATCCGATATATATGTATATATACATATCATGGCCTATTCGACATGGAAGTAGTTTTCACTCTTGACCGACAACAATAGCCGAGCACAAACGGTCCTGAAGGCTAAATAAATAGCGTGGTCATTTAAAATTGAATCCACGCTATATACAAGTTAGCTATGATAAAATTTGAAAACTGCGCAACATTGGACCTTCAAAAATGTAAAACGTGCCCACCATTTACAATACAATTTACGTATGTGCTTTGTGTAAGCAGTTACCGAAATATATGTTCATTTATATTTGCGCCAAACATCAGGCGATGTGAAATGTTCATAGTACGCTTTTAAAAAAGTCTGCATGTAGACGATGTAAACTATACATCTTACTTATTTTGTACGTTTTCTACTTACGATGTTTCTTCTTTTATCAGTTTGAAAACAGAACAGTGAAGTTCTTTTAGCCATCACTATATTTTCACTAGATGTCTTTGATAGTAAGTATTATTATCTTTTTTGTGTTGAATCGTAGAGTAATACGGGTCGATCTTGATATATTCTTGTAGGTTGTTGTTACACGTTCTTCCACTTTATCGCAGTATTATTGGTGTAGGAATAAACTTCACTGGAATATTTAACGTGTGGAATGACATGCACATCTTTGTATTTCACCTATTTTTGGAAATTTTTATACACCAATATTATGTTTTATGTTTATTTGCATGTGATCTTGTTGTAGTGTTTCAAGCATTTGTTTCTGCATATTATGTTCTGCCTAAAATTTGAAGTAAACAATTATATTCAATTTTCTTAAATAAAATATATTACAGAAATTTGTATTAAAAATGATTCTTGGTCGTACCTGTAGTGGTGTTAAACTTCCTCTTTTTGCTTGCAAAGCTGGATTTTTCAGGTCTCGTGCTAAAACATTGAGCTGTGATTCTTGTAATGCCATACTATTCATAAGTTGAAGATGCTTCCTTCTTATTTCGTTATTGATTGCCTATTACAAAGAATAATATAATGTTTCGCCTGTTATATTGAATTAAACACTTTTAATATTTTACACTTACATTATTGTTTGCTAGTTGTTGTACTGTCGTTTCATCGAAGGTATCTAAATCATTGAAAAAAATAATTGAAAAATGAATTTCATAAATATCTATAATATTAAATAAGATGTATAAGATTATTACACACAAAACACATAAAACTTACTTTCAAAAATCGGTACATGCCTTAGGTCATCAAATATTTTCATTATAATATCTGTAAAGAATTTAAAACATTTATTAAAGTTTTATGTAAAACTTAATGAAAAGAACTGGAATTAAATTAAAATAAAAAGACAAATCGAAGAGAGATTCAATTATGTATACGTATTTTTTAATTCGAGAAAGTATGAGATTTTATGAAAAACTTTTTTTATGCAGCATAATATTTCAAATAGATAGGATATTTAAAATTATTCTTTAAATGGATAAAAATACCACCCAATCTTTCGCAATATACAAAATTTGGTTGTTTACTTTGCTTGTAGATGAGTGCAGGATTACTGTACTGAGTTCGGTACCTGGATTTGCGTCCAGGCCTGGACTCAGCAGAGGTTCGTCCCTTAAATCATGAAGGTCGATAAATTGATCGTCATCCGGATTTGGAGGTATCGCACTAGAATCCACCTGTTGATAATCAGCAATGGCTTCGTTTAAACTTGAATTCGGCGATTCCGCAACCTTTAATGACTGAGGATTCATATTGATGTTGTACTGATTGAAGTCTGTCGGAAGTTCGGAAAATTCCTCGCCAACAAAAAGCTTGCAATCGACGTACGAAACGTTTTGCTGTTCATCGTTCGTATCCGATGAAGCATAAGAAACATTACTGTGCCTTTTTCTATTGCAACTTGCCTTAAGATCTTCGTGACTGTATATCCTTTTCAACGAGTGCTTATGGGTTTTCGTGTTAGGAGTAATATTATTATCAACCATGTTATTTTCAAGGTATTCCATCACAGGCTCTTGTTGATGGGTATAAATATCCACGATAGGTTCCACTTTGATGTTACATGGATTATTTTCGCATAATGCATGCGAACTTGAAACAGTCGTAACAGGTTCCTTGACTACAACAGCAGGATTCAAAATATCAACGTTTTGAGAAATCTCAAGATGAGACGTTCCTGTATCTCGTTGAGTATTTATGCATGATTCAACAGTCGACTCGTTCGTAGTGATCATATTGGTAATTTGCGGTGAATTCTGATGATCTTGTGCACTATCGCGTAGATTGGGCGTCTGTTTCGATACTTCGTGTAACGTTATCGTTTTTCCAGATGACCTCGAGCTTTCTTGCCTATCAGAGTCATTATTGTTTGTCTTCGATTCTTGTTTTTGATTTCGATTTCCTTTGCCCTGTACCATTAGATAATGGTCAATTTTCTCAATTCCCAGTTTTCGAGCTTGAGCGACAGCCGGAGGTAAATGTTGCGATATCATAGCAGCTTTCGCATATTGTTCATTTGGTACTGGCGACGCAGAAAGACGATCTTCCGAGATAGGTGACGATAGGTCGCTAACTAGGATAGTAATGGCATCTTCCAGCTGCGAGGGATCCTCCATACTACTCTTCGAATTTGATTGTTGCGAATCCGAGCCCTAGAAATATAATTAAATGTTTACAATAATCGTTTGATATTCGCTTTCGTTTAATAATATTTTCTCGGCTTTATTTCAGAATTTTACAACACTGTTTATACATAAAGTTATAAACTGGATTACCAAGTCGAGTGACGTATCGTCTCCATTCTGTATCATCGCTCTCATAGTCTCAGAGATTGTAGCTGAAAATCTCTTCTTCATTTGCTTCATCAGTTTGATTCCTTCCTCCTCCCTGTAAAACAATTTAGGACCTTTAATAACATACAGAGAAGAAAAGATGTATTACCACAAATATATTTCAAAACTTACGACACTAATGTATTTATGCACACAAGGGATACTGCAATTTGCGTATCTTTATCGACCTCTAAATATCCATGAGTGCGTAAGTAAATAGATTCTCCTGTTTTTGAAGTGAGTCTGTAACAGGATGATCCACAAGTCTCCGCGCGGTCGTACACTGTGAATTAATTATTCGAACGATTAGGAAATTGTATATACCAGTGACAACAAAGCGCAGTAATTAAGAAGATGACCATAAAAAGAAGCGAAAACTAGCAGATGTTTGAACTCACTTTGACGTAGCGCAACCATTGCCCAGATACGATCGTCTCTGTGCATGAAACCGAAGGCGCTCATACCCGAGACTTCCTCTGATAAGTAACCAGCCACCACTGACACCCTATGATCGCAGTAAATTATCCTGCCATCTACCAAATGTCGAGTGATATACTCGTCCTTATTTGCATCTATGATTGATATCTTGGTGATGGGCCGCCTCATCAGCAAGCGTGCGACGCCCACGAAAACGATATCATTGCTAGTTGAACTGACGTCTGCAAAATAATTGGTACGATCTTAATACTTTGCCTATTATTCTTTTCTTTTACATTATTCGATATCTCGAAATTTTCAGTAACGATACGGACATTAACGTATTCTATAACATCTAGATTCCTAATACGATATCATGAGTGTGACTTCCCGAAGGAACCTGCAGTTTTTAATTCCAAAGTCATCTCTCGATGGAATTACTCGCAATTAATGGACCATTTTCGTAAATTGACTTCCACTTGAAGATCTCGATCAAGAATCTCGCTCTTTGGATGAGACTCGGTGAGACTGGACGAAATACAACGACGAAGCGTCGAAACGCGAAATGAGGTGAGTCTGGAGTCGATGGATTTGTGCTTTCAGTGCAGCTGAAAGTGAATTTCGTACGATCTAATCCCTAGACTCACGGGATTAAAACGAGGAATCCGCATGGTTGAACGGCTCTGCGACTACGCCTACACTTTTCGCCGACGATGGCGACGGGCTAAATTTAAATACGTAGCTAGGGTAAATATTTGCGATACCCGTTTCAAAACTAACGTTACCGGTCCCGATGTGTCGTGATAAAAGAGGAACATCGACGACCCATGGTCGTATCCGAAACGGGAGAAATTCGGTACATCTCTGCCTCAAATCAAGCACTGGCATCCGTGTGACGTTTTTATTGCGCATAAACGAGAACAGCCATTGAACAGACTATATGGATTACGTCGCAAACAACGTTATAACTAATGCAAACATAAGGATTGTATCTTCCGGGTATAAGCAATGTCCTTCCGATAATATCCGAACAATCTCTAAACATCGCAGCTAGCTCCACTGGGAGTCGAACGATGCAGGCGAGACACTGTTTCTGATAGCTATTTAACTTAAACCAAGCAACCGACCATGTTCCACCTTATTGCTCAATGTTCCAGTTCGCTGCTTGCCAATCAAAGCACCTTTAATTCGTCACCTGAGCAATTAATCCCAAAGAGGTGTTCTCGATTACTCTACGATACTATCTCACTCTATGGATGCATACAAACAAAAGTAAGTACACTGATGGAATATTCGCCAATTTCTTCTACGAACATACTCTACTGCTATAACATTTTCTTCGACAGATACGCAAGAGGAATCTTCGGTTCCAGTAAGCTCTGTCAGGCTTCCACGCGATGGCCCAAGACTCCGGACTTGCAGGGCCAATTTGTTAGGAAACAAATGGACCAGTCGCGAAACGACCGTGCACCAGTTTCGTTTACTCGGGATTTATGACTTCGAGATCCATCTGGCTACCTCGCGACGTCTCAAGGACACGGCTCATATGCGGAAGATAATCGAACGGCTTCATTCGAAAGGTAACTACTGCGAAAGATAACAGTGTTCCTCATCGTAACGGCATGTGTCTTTACCTCGATGTCTCGTTCTGTTGCCGTTCGATTCGGAATTTTTGCACGCGTCAGCTAGTCTCAGCATCCCGGAGATCTCGAACCATTCGTACTGCGTGTGCTCGCGCTTGGACGCGGTACGATGTAGCATCCTGAGCTCGAAGCTCCGCCTCTGTTCCTTGAACGATCTCCTCTCGTTGTTCGTGGACGTGGAGTCCTCTGACGAATTGGAGTTGTCGTTCGTCCCGTCGGTGATCTGCGGCGTGGACGAGGTCACCATCCCTTGCATCTCGTCCGGCGTCAGGTTCTTCGTCAGCTCCTCGTGATCCTTGGGGTGGACGAAGGTGTAGAGGGAATGGCCCAGCAGGTCCGTCTGTAATATCAGTTGGTTTGCAACTAATTATTCTTTCACGGATTCCTTTGCTTCTGGTGCTCGGCGAAGGAAGAGTATTATGCGAGGGCGTGAATGCTGAATCTCATGAATGTAGTGTCTCTAAAGTTTGGTCTCGAGATTGGATTTAGGCTTATGATAGTCATTTAATGGTGAAAGCTTGGGAATTTTTCAAGAGTGTTTCTTTTTTGCGATTGTAATTATTTATTAAGCAGCTGTCAAGGGTTCTGTGGATTTTTAGTCTTTGGATTCAACCGCTGACGCGATGTCAAATCGGCTACTGATATATAAGTGTCAGTAAGTTATGTTAAATTGTTTTATTTGTAGTAAAATTAAGGGAAAGGAATTTTCAATTACCGATAAAAATATTTTGTTTCCTTTTTTGTTATTATATTATAATGAAATTTGGTGGGTAATAAATAATAAATGTTATATAATAGGTATTATAGCAGAAAGACACGTCACCGATTGAAGATTAAATTTAATTAGGATCGATGATTGAGAAGCAGGATTTTTTAAGCAAGAGACAGAGATTGTGCAAATACGGTGTTATTTTTTCTCATATTTTATAAGGGGCGAAAAAATTTTCTAAGATACTATTTACTTAACCGGTAATAAAGACTTTTACAAAATAATTTCGCTCTTAAAGAGTCAATGTTTTAAATGAATGTTTGAAAATATAGCAGCTGTATAAGAAACTTCGTTTCGACTCTTTCGAAGGTTTGCCTCAATTTTCAATTATCTGAATTTCAGTTTTAATCTCCGAAACAGATTGCTACATTTTTACCAATTTTCGTGTATCTTTTCCCATTTTCCCGATCTAAAAACCATTTAATAAAATAGACAAGCTTGCTCGCTCGAAGAAAATACTGCACGGAAAATCGTGAAAACGGGTATTCTTTATTCGTATTCTGGCTAAATGCTTTGACGCTGTAACAAATATACGGTTTCGTTGTAAAAACGGGAATTCTAATAAAGATCCGATCAGAAACAATCGTGTACAACATTTAGTTGCGCGTATATATTTTTTCGCAAATGTTATATCATATTACATATTTCGCTGTTACGTGAAATCTAATTTCACGAGTATTATATTATATTAAACACTATATTATATTAGATTAAATATCCACGAGTCATCGAACACTTCCTTAATCAAAATTCGAGGAATAATATACGAGGCATAATTATTTCCCGCGATAATGCGGTATTATTTCACAAAAATAATCCTAAGTAAGCACTTCAGTGATTCGATTCTTGACAATTTGGTCCCCGACAAAATTTTTTAACGTAAATTACCAGTGTCTTAATTTTCACAATTTTTTAAGTAAAAATCAGTCTTCGTTTTCTATTATAAAAACATCTTAGTGAAAATCTAGGCACGTACAAGTACACTCTTTGTCCTTAACTCTTTGACTATGGCAGACTTTGGAACGCACCAGCCGTACCATACGGTACGAAGGAATTCATTTGCGATGTACATCGAGAACGGTGAAATTTTTCGTTAGATTTCTTTTTTTTCGTTCTGAAAAATTGTATATTCAAATAATAATCGAAACAGTATATTGCATTATATTAACCCTTTGCACTCGAGAGGTGACTCTCAGTCACCATTTAATCAGATTCTAAAGATCGACGTTAATTAATAACGATGTATGGAATGTCGAAGAAAAATAATGCTGTCTTAATTTGCATATGATTTCTCATTTACCATTTTAAAAATATCGTCGACTCTATGACAGAAGGTCTTCGAATTACTATTTTTCTATAACGAAAAAGTCGTCGAGTGTAAAGGGTTAAATCAACATTATTTCTTTCTTTGCATTCTGCAGTAAATTGTTGCTGTACATACCTAAAATTTAACAGCAAAAAATACTTTTGAGCGCCTTTAAGGCACCCACAGTAGTCAAAGGGTTAATATTGACTCTTCAAATTTTATCGTATGATTCCTTAGAAAATTATGATTGTTCAAAGATTAATTTCCCTCATCATTCTACATCCACATGTTCCTGAATCTTGTTCCACCTAGTTTCTTCTTTATCTTTTCTCAATAAACAAATTATATATGCAAACTCATCTTGATTAGAATTGCAATTTCATCGAACTCTGCGAAAACACTGGACAATCGCCGGAAGTGTCGAGGAGAGGTACGTCCACGCGTTCCAAGAACTTCTTCTGCATCTTCGGACGGGAGCTGCGATTTAATCGGGATCAAGGCGGTGCACCACGTCGGCGACGGGGCTCGTTTTCACCACGGGGAGTTTCTCCTTGAGAACAATATCGGCTGATTGCGAGTATCTTCTTAAAAAACCCGGAGGATCCCGCGCAAACAACTTCTCGCTCTCTTTCCTTCTGAAAGAGAGGAAATGCTCGTTTCTCTCGGCTCTCGTCTCCTTTCTCCCAGCAGCTCTCTTCCCGTGTCTTCTCTTCGATCTCTCGCACACACCTCGACATTTTACCCTCTCGTGGCTGACTTTCTTCCTCCCTGTCGACCATCCCGGCGTGTCCTTACACCCTGAACTCGGAACTCGGCCGAACCTCAGGTTCGTTACGCTCGAGTGTCGAATTATCGTTATACTCGAATCTAGAGCGACGGTTCCTACGGGACCATGTGGATCGATAGAACAGGCACTTTTTGCCAGCCGAGCTACCAGACCCTGTCAGAGCCTGGTCTTCGTCGTTGTCTCGCTGGTCCAGGCTTAAGAAGGGACTCGTCCATCGGGCCTTGCTTTTTGCTCTCTTTCGCCTGGTACTTGTTGCAGCTTCTCCCTTTGACATCGACTGTACGCACCAGTGGATACAACAACCACGGTGGATGATATACCGTCTGGCTCTTTTTAGATACGCTCTTGCGATACGTGTCTGGCTATCGATTCCGATGCGGGACGCAAATTGAAAGCCTCGAATTTTGTGAAGCAACTTTGCAAGAATATTGCGAGAATATCGCGTGTCTGTGAGAAATTCTCCTTGGTGTGAAGGATTATTCGTGGGTACGTTAGCGGTATCGAGAGTATCGTACTCAATGGTGATGTATTAACCACTAATATTGCGAGAAATTAGGCTAGTTATTAGTAGTATGCTCTAAACTATTTTCCTCTCAAATCTTGGATCCCTGAATTAAACAATGGATAATTAAGTAGGGGGAACTTTTTATTCTCGTTCCAATGCTAACACTGTAACTACCGACTTGTAATTTGCGTGGTTAAGTATATAATAATCGAAGTCGAAAGTTCGAAGTTAATTTCGTTAAAAGCAGCTGCGCGGTTTTGATAATTAAAAGAATGGAATATCCAGAAACGGTGATTCCGATCGCTTCGGTAGTTTTAGTGCTAAAGGAAGGATAGATGGAGCCTAGGAAGCGAGAGTTTCGGTTTTAAGAACATTTTCAATCGGAGTTTTCGTAATTATCGGGACACAGAGATCTAAAGTTTCGGGGGTTGAAACTTTATTCGTTATTCCCCGCTGCTCCTCGACTTAGAGGGCGCTAGTTATGAAGTTAATAACGAAGCGGAGCCGACCGGTTACACGGTCATAAGTTGCGTCGCATTGAGCTCGGGAACGTTTAATGATATGGATAAAACGAAAAGCATGTAAAAAGAAGTTAATATATTCGAAGAAACCACATTCGTCGTGTCGCGCATAAAAATGGAGAGAAAAATACACGATAACTCGTTTTCAACCGAATCAAAGTTTCAGCAAGGTTTTTTCCATTTTGCGTAAAAACTGGTGCAAAAAAAGTCATCGGCATTCACCTTTGGAAGCACAAATATTGGCACAAAAACCGAATGTATAGATAAATCGTTGAATCGTCGTACGAAAAAAGGAAGAGTAAAAGAGGAAGGATTTTTGAGCGAACAGAACGATTTTCGAAAAATAAATGACTGTATTCGTCGAACTAGATGAATTTTTACCCTTTCATCCGTTTCTCTCTTACAGCGCAATTTTTCCGCCGTTTTCCTGCTTTTCCTTTTACCCCTATACGCCTCTCCGCTTCTACCAATCTTGCCAATTTTTCCCCTATTTTATTTTCGTTACTTTCTATTCCAGCACGCGTGTATTCTTCATTTTGAAATCGCGAATATCCACTACGCCCGTATTCAACGAAATTCTATCTAGTACTGTGGAGAATAATCCAAATTCGAAATTGCGTGACAAACACGGCCCGATTGAAAATCGAGCCGGCGTCAGGTGACCAATCGATTATTCTCTGCAAGAACGACAAATGATCGGCAGAAATAAAGAAGAAATGCAAGAGATAGGGTGAAAGGGTGTAAGGATGAATCAAAGGGGCAGCTAACATTTCGTTTCATTTCGTTTCATTTCGTTTCATTACCTTTCATTTCGTTTGCATCGACGTTTCCTTTCGGTACACGTGCACCGTTCCGGACACTATGCAATCTCGTTACAGCGAGTAGATGGTAGGAAATAACACTCGTGGATTGTTTATTTGTGCCAGAATAGCAATAGGAGCGACAAGGAGTGTGGTCTGATCGAACGATTCGGAATGGAAAAATCATCGTGTAATTGCTGCGAGATCGAACACCGATAAAAGTGTTTGTGATTAATCGTTGGGGAAAGATTGCTTGACGAACGCGATGATTCACGAGGCAGATACGTGAGTCCACTGTATGCACGATTTCCATAAGTTGAGTAAGGCGAAAAATAATTCCAGGTGCAAGCCAGTTACCATGGCTGCCTGGTTCTGCTCATTTGATCGATAATTCGGAACCCTCGGCACGAAGCTACGTTTCACTGCAATTGCAGTTGGATCGCTGCTTTTTATTAATGCATCGCGAGGAACGGGTCGGGCAAAAGAAAGTTTTGTAAGGGAGAAGGAAAGTTTCCAAGCATTATTAGGCCGTCGAATCAACGATACGTTCGGTTAAGCAAATAATCCACGATTTTTTCATATTCTCAACGAATCTTCTTCCATTGACTAATCAGCGTCATTTTTCTTATATCGCAGATTTTGTATAAATAATCGACGATTTTCTTAATACTTTAAAGGAATCTTTTCCAATCGACTAATAAAAGTTAATTCTTTTTATACAACAATTTTCGTTAGAAAAATAATCGAGGAGTTTTCAATGTATTACAAGCATCTTTTCCCATCTGCCAAGAACAATTAATTTGTATCGAGCAGTTAGGGTAACGAAATTAACCTTTCGCGGTTAATTTTCCCTTAATCAGCCCTTGCAGATGGTCTCGATATTCCTTTTTTCGATTCCTCACTGTTCCAACGTGTAGAATATTCTGTTTCGCGTTGCACGATTTAATTTAATAGAAATATGACAACACAGACTCGTCGTGATAAGTGTATATACGTTATTGGTTATGGAAATATGGAAATACGGGTAAATTATGATCAGCTCTTGAAAGCATTATCGAGTAGGAATTAATTGAGGTAGAACGTCGAATCCGAATCGGACTGCGAGGAGGTAATGTTAATAAAACCACAGGAATTTATACGCTGGGAGATAACGGATTGTGTAGGTGTGCGCGCGTGTGGGAGTGCGTGTTTGCGAGCAGGGTGAGCGTGTTTTTAAGGGCGGATAGCGTGCGATGAGAGCGAAGTTTGAGAGGATAGCCAGCAGAGCGGAAGTTTTAGAGTACGATGAACAGACTATCTAGGGAGTTTAGGGGGAGGAAACTTTTCGTGAGAAAGAGCGTTATGGTACAGGGAGGATAAAGAGACGGGTCAGGGAGAGAAGGGGTAAAAAGTTGTAACTGAAGGATCCATTGTATTTATAAATTTAGCAAACGTTTAATCCACTCTATTAAAAATTACTTAATATCAAGTGAAAGTAAACAAATTTCTGCGGAATAGGAATTTGATCATTTTGTTAGGTCTCAGAGATTCAATTGAACGTCATTTCTCTAATTTTTCAATTCTTTACGCTAGAACTACCGATCTTCTAATGTAAACATAAATATGATATATAGATAGGTGATGATATATATACAACTATATAAATAAGAGACTTAACCCTTTGCACTCGACTATTTTTTGACTAAAGAAGAGTAGGAGTTCAAAAATATTCTGCTACAAAGCTGACGATATTATTTTGAGCAGTAAATAAGAAATTGTGTAATAATTAACAGGTAGAATTATTTAATTTCGATACCTCGCACACTGTTACGTTATTTTAAATTTGACATATTAATTAATATAGATCTTCGAAATTTTATCAAATGGTGACTGAAAGGCACCTCTCGAGTGCAAAAGGTTAAAACCAGTCATTCCGATTAATCCGGTAGTTCTAGTGCTAATAATTGTGGCAATAATTATGAAAGTGGTCTGAATATAGAACCAAGTACAGAAACAAATTTTTCACTAATTACGTATTATACTATATATAATTATTTTATAATGATAATTTATTTTACTACTTGAGACACTTTCATAGTCATCGACACAACTAGTCTCGTGCCGATCGAATCTGCGGTTGAATCTCGTCGAAGGTGTGGCTAAATTGAAAATAAATGAAAGAGAGACAGTAATAAAAGAAGGAAAAGATGCGTAACGTAGAGATTTACCTCGGTATGGCCAAGATGCTCCTGAACTTGCCGGCTGACGTAAACTATTTTCCCGGTGGTCGTGACCACGATAAAGAAGCCCCCGCTTTCGATCAAGTTCTGTTACGGTTAACAAAAACGATTTTAACGTGTTCAACGTGTGTAACGATAACAGGACTGGATCGATTTACGAGTACTCACGTCGACGATGTATTGTTCCAAGTCCAGATCGCTGAGCTCTCGGGGAAGAAAGCCAACAGTGCCATGTCCCAGCGCTGAAAGAAACACGCGTAAACATACGTTAACGAGCGCATATCGAAGGATAAGCAATTCTAATTTATTTATCACGTGTCGCAGTATGTCTATGAATATTAAAACGCGATGGAATCACGTTGGAATCACGATGGAATTACGATCGGATCACTTACTGTATTGCGTTCTGAGGAAGGCAGCAGTCAACCTCAAGACGGATATTTTGTCCATCTTCCTCTGACTTTTCGCGACAGTAGGTACAAGTGCCGCCATTGCCGAGATATTCGTGTTGAGATTGTCGCGGCGTTGTTTCTCTGCCATGTTCCGTGACGCTCTTGGATTGCTGTAACAAAATAGAGCACACAGCTAAGCGTTAATCTCCGATAATCCTAGAACACTTTGGACCTATTGTACGATTTACTAAAGGAACACAGATATTTCTTGAGCTACTCGTAGCTTTCTTCCATCGAAGAAATCAACGATCCCTTTTTAACATTTCTCGCGTGTAGATAGAAGCGACGGATTATAGCAAATCTCGAACGCAAATTATAAAATTATTAAGTTATCGGAAAAATAGAAGACTTTTATATAGCTGTAACAAAATCTTGATACACTTCGAATCTAATACACGGTTTAATGAAGGAAAACAGACGAAAATATTGCACAGTAGATATGACACCTGCAGTAAGAGAAAAGTTCCAAGATTATGCCAGTAAAATTAAAAAATGCTTCAATTTTAGTAGATACGCACCGTGGCGGCGCTAGTGAGTTAAGCGAAAAATCGCCGCAAGGCTGCCGAAACTACTCGTGAAAGGATTAAACCGTTCTTAACTTCTTCCAGCAAACTCTCGATTCTTTCTCAACGTTCAGATAGAAACGACATCTCACAGTCCATCGAGAACTCCGAAATTAAAAAGTGGCGAAAGTATAAAAGTACAAAAATACGAAATGACGAAGTTCGCGAGGTTACATCATCGGAAAAGCAGAGGCCGGTTAGAAGGTCGTCGGGTTGCGATATTCGTTTCCTTATTTCGGTCGATCGCGAATCATCGTGGATCCGAACGTGATTTCCGGCCTGGTCGCTACGCGAAAAGACGAGAATTTCGGCGGAGCCGGGGTCGCTTGTTTTCATATCGAGTTTCATCCCGTGCTTTTCCCATGGCGCGGCGCAGAAAGCCGGCGAATGCAATATCTCGCGACGCATCTAAATTTCCTCACGCGTCGAGCGCGTGAGTCAACTGGCAGCATCGTGTAACCACGAAAATAATTCCACGGATAAACCCTGTGCGACACACGGTTCGCCGGCATGCGAAGGGGAACCGGCTTGTATTCCATGCGCGTACATAACCGTGTAGCCCGGAACCGAGAAGTTAAGTGTCCGGACGACACTTCGCTCGATGTGTAGCAACTGTGCGCGAACAGTCTTATCGTCGGAATTAATGACGAATTAATTACCGAGAGCGATATTTATGATACTCTCGAGGAACCGGCGAGATACGAATCGGAGTTGTGTATACGAAAAAATGTAGCGATAGTATTATATTAGGTGGTGGTCAGATAGCAATAACGACATATTAACGACGTAATAATAGCGATGGTACTATAGTATTAATAAGAACACGATAGTAATAGCAATAGTAACAGTGATAAAAGTAGAACTAGAAATAGTAATAGAGACAGCATAGCAGTAGTAATATACTAATAACAATAACATGTACAGCGATAGTGAGGGTAATAAAAGTAATACATAATAATAGCAACACAATAATAATAATGGTATAGGAATATTAATAGCAACGGTATAATAATAGCTATACACAGAAATATTGATGCTGTAGTAGTAGTAATATAGTAATAACGATGGCATAGTAATAGTAATGATATAAAAATAGGAATATATAGAAATATTAATACTGTGGTGGTAGTAATACGTGACGATAGTAACATAATAATAGTAACATCATATAACTAGTACAATAAGATATCATAGTACTATTAAGTTCATTATTTAAGTTTAAACCTTTTCATCTGCCAGGTGTAGGAGTTCCCATCTCCAATCATCCGAACGTGCAGAAATGGCAGTTTATTTTAATTGAACTTTTATTCCGAACAACCATCTCACCTTTGGTATTTATATAATCGATTTATCTATCCGTAGAAATGGCCGGAATGCAAATAACCGAACGAACAACAGCTAACGGAAGCATCGTTGCAAACAAGTTGGGGCAATACGAAATGCGTATTCGTACAGTCGTATTCGCATACGACTACCAGTCGTAGTAAAAAAATTCGCGGATCTCTCATCGATTCTTACAATAATAATTCTTCCAAGATGTTCCAAGATATTATAGGATATCAACCTTTACCCTAGTCCTAGTTCCTAGCTCCCACTGACCAAAGCACATCTTCCCGACCCTCTCGACGCTGTTCGCCATCTCCATCCGCGACTTTAAATCACTGCCCGAATAACTGTCCGACGATAAAAGCAGGCATTGAGAAAAAAGCGACGCCTGTGTCGCGTGTACGCGCCATGGAGCACTCGAAATGGTCTAGCTACTAACGACCGTCGTCACTTCGGCACAGATTCCAAGGGAAATGTCCGTCACGTGCCAGACCACTAGTGTCAGTTCGCGTTGATCCGACCGAGATCTCCACTTTGCTCTATTCCCAATCATCTGCCGTTTTTTGCATCCGTCTCTGCCTGTTCCAACCTTGAAACCCGGCTTTTTCGTACGTCGAAACGCGTGAACGCCACGAAACTCAAAGGTTACGTAAAACGTTGAACGCGTTCGGGTCCTTTCGGGCCCACGTTGCATCGGGATTCGATTCCCGGCCACGTTTCTCGCGTAATGAAGAGGATAAAAATCGAACCTTAACTTTGGATGACGTAAGGAACCGAACTGGTTCATCGGTTCGTCGGCCAGCACCGCGTGAAAGCTGGAGAACTGGTTCGAGTGTACGATGCACTTTGCTCGGCTGAAAAATCCGCTTTGTCGCGATTTCGACCATTTCGAGATTCCATGGTCAACGACTGAATCGGAGGGCAGATTATACTGGTTTTCGTTAATTAGACCGAGTTGGTACGATCGATTGAGCTTCGTGATAATCGCGAAATTATTCTTTCGTGGTCAAATTCTTTCGTTTCTTCTGCGATCATTTTTGAGCAAAATGGGAAACGAGAGAAGACGCAGAGAAACGAGTCGATTCGAGGAGGTTGCGAGTTAGGTGTTGTCAAGATTGGACATACTGGAGATTTATAAGAAAATCCTTAGGGTAAATATCGAGTTTCGTATCGTTCCTCGTGCCTGTCTTATTTTTGACGCGAAATGCACTCGTGTCGCTTTTGCACCGAGCTTGTTATATAATTAGCGTTGAAAACAGAAAATTTGTGGCGTCATGATCCAGTCTTGCACTGCACTCTGGAAATTAATAATAGCAACGTTGATACCGACAATGGCGAATTATCGATTATTTAAAATCGAAGACTAAAGATTATTTTCTGTACCTATCTCGGTTTCTTTTTTCTTTCTTTTTTTAAGGTTTGTCATAATAGTGTTAATTATCGATTACTCAAAGTCGAAGGTTGCACGATTATTTCTTGTACCCATCTCGTCTCTGACGAAAATTAAGCCTCTTATATAACGGAGGAAAGGCAAGATTTATAACATTGTTTTCCAATATTAAGTCTCAGATTCTATAGTTACATATTTGCTCTAATTATACTGTACAATGTACGAAAGGAAAGTTTACTTTCCTACTCACGAATCTACGATCGAATTTACTTTAGTACTCTTGGTTTCCGATAAATGTGTTTCTCTAAAAAATTTCTCAAACGATTTTTGGCTAAAATGAAGTATTACATAAAAAGTAAGAATGTTAGGAAGTTCATTGTTGTCTTAGAAGTTAGGTGTTAGGTCTAATGGCAAAATTATAAGAAGCTTCTTTAAATCATTTGTGATTTGAAACAGTTTCGTTATTCGATACATAAATACGAATGACTTTTTAATATAAAGTTGTTAAAAAATAGATTCCCACCTAACTTTGAAGATGAGTATGAATCTTCTAACGTTTTCACTTTCTGTGAAATATTTCTTTTTAGCTAAAAATACAGAGGAAATAAAAGTATTTTGACATACGTATACGTATTATGAAAATTTATCCCCATAGAAGTGCAAATGCAATTATAGTTTATAAAAAATACATAAATTATCAAATTTATTATAAATAATAAATTGTTTGCAACAAAAATTTATAATAAGGACTAAGAAATCAATAAATATCTTGTGCTAATAATGTATTTCTGTTGAAATATACATATAATTTGCAAAAATTTTATAAATAATTATACCTATTATTAATAACAAATTAATATTGTTAATAACAAATTGTTTACAAAGTAAATTTACAATAAAAGTGAAAAAATTGATAAATTATTGGCTATTATAGCAGAAAAATAAAAATTAATGGATCGGTAGAATTCGGAAATTTCCGTCGAACTTCGGCCGATCGACGGCTATATAAGGGGCAACGTGCCGCTGTTGAAGTCATTTGCCGGTTTGGCATCGGGAGTGTAACATCTAAATTTTTCCGTGTGCGTGAGTGGGGGTGGGTCCGAAGTAAGGTGGGGTTGGCTACCCCACCCCCTTAAACAATTTACTAACAATTTTTCTTTTCAGGTCTAATATTTTCTTTTTTCAGGTTCTAATTTTCTTTTTATTTTCAGGATTTAATTATTATTTTCTTTTCAGATGTTTATTCTTTCAATATTTATATTTATCTGACAAATTGAACATTACGTTTAATATTCGAATGCCTCGTCGTTGGGTTGTTTATGTCTCATCGGTGGGTTGTTCACTCTATTTGATCGTTCTTCATGATTTGTATTCTTTTCGCTTTCATTTATTGTACTTTCTTCTTACTAATCCGTTTTATTTCAGGTTTATATCTTTTCTTTTTAGATTTTCAAGCTTTCCAAGTTCAACATCGTTGAACGACGCGGGATGCGTGCGTTTAGACCTAAGTAGAACTAAGTAGTTCTAAGATAGATTTCTAAGCTAAGTTTCATGTGCGCGCTATCCGTACAAAGGTAAGCTACCTTGGAGCGAATACATTTCATATTCTTCCTCTTTAATCCTTCTTGTTTACCAAATAGAACATCATTGTTCTCGCGATAATCGCGATCGTTCTTAAGCACCGACTAGCCTGCGCGACGTACTCTCGTGTACTCGATAACTCCATACTTCGTAAGATATCCAAACGATTCGTTCCGACACTCATCCTCGCCACTGCCACCCTTGTCACGCATCGGATCTAGGGTGATCGGCGGGCTGGCACTCATCTGGG